CAACCCTTTCTCGGCTCGCATTACCTCCCTAATGGCATGTTGTAATGCCAAATTGAACAGGACATGCGAAAGAGAATCCCCCTGTTTTAAGCCCGAACGAACCTCAAATTTTTCGGACAAATTATTACCGATTCTAACTTTATTGAGTGTCTCCGTCAAGCACATCCTGACTAGATTTTTTGGAATCCCCTGCTCGATTAGAATATTATACAGTTTCTGGCGGTCAATAGAATTGTAAGCCTTTTTAAAATCTATATACAGCTGGTGAACAATACCGTTATACTCCAATTTTTTCTCTAATATTTGCCGTAAAGAAAATATTTGATCAATAGTCGAACGATTCCGTCTAAATCCGCATTGGTAGTCTCCGATAATTCCCTCGGCGTATTCCGTGATTCGACTGGTTAAGATTAAAGTGAATATTTTATAACATACCGGAAGGAGTGAAATTCCTCGATAGTTATTACAATCCGTCCTCGGACCCTTTTTGTGAATCAGAATAAGAATAGATTCTTTCCATTCTTCAGGTAATTTCTCGTTCACCCAGATCTTTTTAACCAACCGATGTATTTTAGAAACTCCAGCTTCCCCGCATGCCTTAATTAGTTCAGTAGGAATATTATCGATTCCCGCTGCTTTATATGATTTTAATTTTCCGATAGCTACTTCAACTTCCTCTTTACTTGGTCCTTCTATTAACGGTTCATCACTCTGGTACTCAGAAGGAGGACACAGATCATAATTTCCCGTATTTAAAATATTGTCAAAGTGGTCCTTAAACTTATTCAATATGTCAACCGGATCGGTCAGAATATTGTTATTATCATCCCTAATTCCAGACGTTACGGGCCCTACATATTTACGTGATCTGTTTATACCTTTGTACATGTCTCTTACGTTATTTTCGATTCTATTAGTTTCTATTTCAATTATTTTATTTTTAAGATACTCCCTTTTTTTATTTTTGAGCAATTTTGTCGTTTCGTTCTTTGAGATTCGGAAGTATTCCAGATTGTCTTCGCTAGGATTATTTAGAGCTTTTAATTTAGCGGCTTTTCTTTTTTCACACATGTTTAAGCAATCTTCATCAAACCACGGTTTGTTATTCTTATTTTCCTTTTTTCCTAGACACGAGTTACCGACCGCTTTAATATTATCCCTGATCTCTACCCATAACTTGTCAATATCCTCGTGGTCCTCGTCAGGAAGCTCTAAAGCTTCAAACCTATTCTTAACATCTAGATCGAATTGGTTTCTAATTGATGGATTTTTTAATTTTTCCAAATTAAAATTCTCAAAATCGAAACGGTTTTCTTTTCTCTTTTTTATATTAAGTTTTTGTCGAAGTTTCGCGATTACTAATTCATGATCCGACCCACATTCTGCTCCGCGATAAGACCGTACATTAATTATACTGCTTTGCCAGCTATGTTGTATCAAGACATGATCGATTTGATTTCGTGTTTGCGAATCCGGTGATGTCCAAGTATATTTATGAATATCCTTGTGTTTAAACGTCGTACTTTTAATTATCAGGTTTTTCGAAATGGCAAAGTTTATCAGACGGATCCCATTATCATTACTATATTCGTGCAAACTTTCTTTACCAATCGTCGGAATATAAACTTCTTCCCTTCCTACCTTTGCGTTCGCGTCACCTACAATTATTTTCATGTAGTTTCGCGGTAGTTTATCATAAACCCATTCGAGTTTATCGTAAAATTCACTTTTGACTTCATCGTCACTGTCTTCGGTCGGACAATGTATGTTTATTAATGCGATTTTAAACCAACGTCCCTGAAATGTAGCTACCGAAATTCTATCACTAAAGAATTGTACGTCCCTCAAAGCGGATAGTAATCTACTCCTAATTAGAAACCCGGTACCTAAACAATGATTCCCGCTTCCTCCGTACCAAATAGTGTACTTCCCTTCCCTCATCGAGCCCTCCCCTGGCCAGCGAACCTCTTGCAGAGCCACGACATCCAAATTGTACCCATTTACCTCATTCGCGACCGATTTTAGCCCCCTGCTGTGCTTAAACTCCTTACGTTCCACGTACCAATATTTAAATCCCTATATTTCAACTTGCGCCATGAATCCCCTAAAGCAGTCCCCACCCGGAGACCCGAACGGGGGACTAGTTTACCTCCGGATAATGAGCGTTTTACCTTAGGGAGATCCATGACTTTTTGTGGTGTTTGGTGAACTAAAGATATGTGAGTAGGGCGTTCAATCCTACGTCACACCCTCCAGCAAGTCTGGTGGGCCCCTCACAAGTCTGAGCCCTACTCAGCAAGTCTGGAGGGCCCCTACCTCCAGCAAGTCCATCGGACTTAGCCGGGAGGAACTTCCAAGGAATTTCCACCGACCATCCCCACATCCGCCACCCGTGGGACGCTCCCCATACGCGGCAATGAGCCCGCGCGAGGCATTGTATTTTTAGTATTAATAATTAATGTGTGGAATTAATAATGGTCTGGAGATTCAATTTATTTGACTCTCCATAAATTAATGGAAAAACGAAGCTATGCTGACATTCCTTGGCAGATGTTTATTAAAGGATATGCACCTCACTTACTACTTCAACTGTAAGAATTTTTTAAAGTATAATACTACCTCGCTTATCAGTCTTAGTCGGAATCGGAACCTGATTGGTTAAAATGAAATCTGAGCCTATTATTCCAGTGTCATACAGACAAAAACTAATATTCAGTAAAAATTAAAAGTGTCAACAAAATTTAATTTATAGCTTTTAGCCGTATTAATATTAAATGTATTTAAATTGATTAGACCAGCTTTTGCAAATTTTCTTAAATATATGATTTAATATTTGTGTACAAACTATTGTTCGCTATTTGATAGCCTACACAAGGTCCGTTGATTATTTATTTTTTGGTTAACTGAACCTAAATGTTTATATCAATTACAATAAAAGATAAAAGTTCTGTCTAGGCTATTGAAAAATGTAAAATACACATTCCCTCTTCTTTCACACTAAAGGGAAATTTTTGTTATTTGTTAATTTTTCCTTTATTAGTTTGCTCTTAATGTAAGTTCATGGGTCAAGATTGGTTGTAATAAGAACAACTTACCTCAATTGTTCCAATAATTTATTTAGCTAAAACTATTCTGAGAAAAAAAAATTTCCGCTTTTCTTTTTTACCACCGATTAACCCGGAGAGCCGGTTAAGCGGGATTAGATTGTATATATTTTATAACAAATTTTTTTGCGATTATTATGGTATAAATACTATTTTTCTGTGACTTACAGATCAGTATTACGAGGGGTTTTTCCTCTGGAAAACGTCCATTTTCAACTAATAGCACCGTACGTGATTTTTCTCTGAGACTACTGGGTCGATTTTTTTCAAATTTGGAATCAAAGTCAGAGATCACCTGAGGATGATCCTCCTACTACGACATTACCAGCCGCGCTTTCCTTTCAAGATGGCGGTCGAAAAACCTGTGCTACTATAGAATGTAGCACCTAAACGAATGCACCAATTTCAGTGAAACTTTTAATGAAAGCTAAATTCTTCTCCTTGATGGCCTTTAAATTTATCTATATACTTCAACAAAAATAAGCTGTAAACAAATTTATGAGGAATGGTAAAATTAGATTTCCGAATAATCTAAAAAAGTATAAACTTTTTTGTCGATAAGGTTTTAACAGTTTAAAAAACGTCCTAAAAACAAAGATTGTTGAAATCGGACAATTTGGTACAAAGATATTGTGTTCTAAATATTTTTTATATGTTCTAATGCAAAGCTCATATCTTTTGTTTTGGTTTCTGATTTTTTGAAAGCTTTACATCAACTGAAACAATGTTGTCTTTTTTTGGCAAATTATTTATTTTCCTTAAATGTTACATGGAAAGTAATGTTAATTTGGTGTAAATCGTTTGGAAATTATAAACCATTGTGTAATTATTTGCAGCGTTTCTAGCATAGTAAGCAACGTTTTTCAATCGCCTGACCGAAGTTGTGTGTTCAGATGAGGTTTATCTAAAATTTCAGGCGGTTACTAAGTCAGGTCTGGTCTGGCCAGGTCGGCGATCGTCGAGGATCCAATAGTCGGGAGGACCAAAATCATTGTTTTATATTTTTCTAATTTCCCATAAATGATAGTTTTGTATTAATTTATTTCCGCTAATTCTTGGGGCCATTCGATGGATCCCCAACACAAACATTCTGTATTTTTTTTATGGCCGTAGAATGAGTAGGTAAGGCCGTTATATTAGTATCATATTAACAAGCATCCTTGCCGTTATATTAGTATTTCTAGAGAATTGAAGCGGTCATGGAAAATGAGGGAACTTTTCATGGTTTGTTTGGCATTAGATGAGGAACTAATCCCCACATTTACATCCAATTATAAATTTTCTTGATATCTGCTCTGTTTTTTGCCTTTATTTGATGGAGCTCACTCACCTTTAGAAAGTTTATTTTAATTTTCAAAAATTAATTTTAATGCATAAGGAGGGCTCTCACTTGCCTGCTCCGGACTGCCTCGGCCTGACTTTTAAAAGTAACTTTGATTGAATAGGTAGTGAGCGAGCCCGCTCAGTCTTTTTCCGCTCCGCACTTTTCGAACCTTTTTATTATATTACAAATATGGACTGAAGCCAAGGCAGTATGGAATTCCCATTCTCGATATTTCTGTTTACAACCCCATACCACTCCGTTATTTTTCATGGGATTTCGTTATATCTTCCCTTTATACTATCAACACTAAATAAACTGACTATCAAAATATAAGATTTTATATCATCTTTAATTAGAGTATGATAATTATTTCCTTCATAAAACCGTGATTGTATATAATTTTCCAGAAATAATTTTTTAAAAAAATTATTACCGTAATTTTAAAGAAATATTTTCAATTTTAAATAAAGTTTTCTAATAGTTTCTAAATATATATACACCTTTTTATATATTTAATTTTGTGCCTTAAATTAAACTCATTTCACTTCTTGACCCATTAACTTGAAAAAAAAAAATGTAAAAAAACTTTCTTAAAATTTATTTTCTCATTTTGATTGCTATTATTTTTATTGAATGAATTAGCTGTGTAATTATTGTCATTCGTAGTTATTTTGCTTAGTAATCCGAAAATGGAGATTTATTGTAGTCTTCTTCTTCTTTAGCTTCTCCCTTTTGTGCCTCTCAGCGTAAGGGGTTGAGCGGCCAGGAACTCTGGTCTCCAAGCTCACAAACCTCTGCTCTAGTCTTTGCCAGGTTCCTGGCTCGACGGAGATCTTTGCAGAGCCTATCAATGTACTCCAGATATGACACTTTTAAGCGTCCTCGAGGTCTTTTGCCATCCGGAGCGTAGTCCATCATCTTCAATGGGTCCCTATATTCCTCCATCCTAATCATATGGCCAAACCATTTCAATTCGTGGATTTGCAGAACCTCAATGAGGCAATCCCCAGCTCCTGGCTTATACTTTCGTTATGAACTTGGTTCCTCATTGTCTTACCGACTGTTTTCTGCAGAATCTTCATTCCAACAGTAGTGACTCTGCTCTCTTGCCTGTCTGTCAATATCCAGCTTTCAGCTCCATATAGAAGTATTAGCAGGTACACAGATTTAAATATATGGAGCTTGACGTTCTTGTCTACCTCTCGCTTTTCTACAGCAGTGTTGCAAATCTGGTAGTAGACTGCATTTGCTTTGCTTATTCTGTTGGATATTTCTAAGTCCAATTTCCCCGCTCTTTCTATGACAGTTTCTAGGTAGGTAAAGTCTGAGACTACTTCTAATTGCTCTCCATTGCAGTGCAGATACATATCTTCATTTTGCATTTCTATTTGTAGTAACTTACTTTTGCTGGTATTGATCTTCATTCCTTTCCAGTAGAGTTCCTCATACCATTCAGTCACCTCCTGCTGCAACTTTTCAGCCGAATTAGCGACAAGAACATCATCGGCATATAGCAGAAGCTGCATCACAACCGGACGTAGATTTCCTCTCCCCAGGAACGTCCTTTCTGTTCTTCTTTTACAGATGGCCACCACATCGTCTATATAAATTAGAAATAATAATGGGCTCAAACTATCCCTTGCTATGTTAAAGCAACCAAACTCCAACCCGTTCAGCCTAACAACTCCCTTTGGGTGTTGATAAATGGAGTTCCCTATCAGTTGGGATCCTCTTCTCGTCCCAGGCTTTTTGACAGAGTACTTATAGAGCTCACACCATCTCGGGGACACCATATTTAACAAATTATCCGGAGTGGAGCCAGTCCGTACAAGTGAGCGGGTGTTTTTAGGCTAAATGCGGATCGGGCCAGAGAAATCCGGAGCGGACAAGTGAGCTCCCTCCTTTATAGTATGTGAGAATGAGAAAATATATATTTGTTTCTGTGAATGATCTTGAGATAAATACCTAAAAAAAAAAAAGAGAAGCAAAAATTAAATGTTGGGTTCATTAATGGTTTATAGGAAGAAATAAGTTAAACTATTTACACTTTGTTAAACTTATATTGTACCTTAAATTAATCTCATTTTCCATATAATTTTCTTGACCCATTTATTTAAAACAAATACTAAAAAAGTTTTTAAAATATAGAACTTATACAAGCTCCAATGTAATTTTTTAAAAATAACTCATCATACAATAATGATAAAACTTTTTTAGGAGTATGGGATGAAAGACGAGGATTTTTTTTTTACGAGCGGTAACACAGGTCATATGACCACTGCATGAGCAAGATTGGCTGGCTCTTCTTCTTGTATGATGTGCGGCAGTGCCCACATATTTACATACGGGTCTAACGACCGGTCTGTCTGTAAGCAGGGCGATTTTAGCAAATCAATATATATCCTTATTATTTTAGAGATATTTTTTTTCAAGTTCATGATTTATGACCTTTATTAATTATATTATTTATTATTTTTTTATAGTAATAGTATTATTGTTCATTAGCTGAAAAAATTAAAATAAAACTATACTAAAAAAAATTTTTTTAAATCATCTTATAATGCAAATAATTAATATTTCACAAAATAGAGAAAAGCAAAATAAGTAAATAAATTAATAAGTAAATTCAAAACATATCAATAAACATTTAATAATCAAATAACAATATTTATATATATATATGTACAAGTATCATAAACACAAGTTAATGAAAGATGTTTGTAAATTCTTCTTTAAATGGTATTACTCAATTCTTGATCGTGAGGCCACTGTGCAATAAATTGCGTTTTTCAGTCTAAAAATAGTAATTTTTTCCAAATCTTAAAAACTTCCTTTTAACCCTGCCTGAAAAATATGTTTTCCAATTAAATTAAATATTTAAAACCAATGTTTAAAAAGAAATGTTATAATACTAGCATAGACAATTTTAAAAGACAACAATAAATGCATTGAAATATATAATGAACGAACCACATAATGCCAGTTTCTGAACGCTATATAAAAAGAGAGATTTGAAAGTACATATATTTAATCTATAAGTAAGTGAAGATTGTATTACATATTAAAAATTATTAATAATTATCTCAATTAAAATAATATAAAATTAATTCTCTTTCTTTATTTAAGCATGGGGTAATGGGCTATTAGTAGGCTCTTTGGGATGGAATAAAGGAGGGAGAGCGTCTGGTTAATTCTCGCCCGAGCGCCGAAAATCCACGCGACGCCACTGACTGGAAGGAGTGAGATCAATAGTCATAATTATGGAGGGATCACTCCTTCCAGTCAGTCAGAGCCGTCGCTTGGGTTGTCGGCGCCCAGGGCGAGAATTAACCAGGCGCCCTCTCTCCGTTACTCCATCCCAAATCTACTAATAGTCCATTATCACCATGCCTAAATAGAAAAAGAGAGATGAATAGAGGCAATATTAATAATAAAGACTTAGCGAAACCGAAATTTCGATGTCAATACCACTAATTAAGGCTACCTGCTCCCATCTTGCTTTCCGGACATTCCTGACTTCTACTTGCGTATATCCCTCGAACGCTTACGAGCTGGCCCAGCGCACATTAGCCTCGGCGGCCACCGAAAGCGCAGCTGAGCTGTGCTAGCTGAGTCAGCTTCCAAAACCGAATCAAAGGTTTTTAATGAAAGGCCAGCCACCAGAGGCGGAGCTGATCTGAGCCAAGTCGCAAGGGTCAGTTCCGCTCAACTTCCTCCACCACAACTACTCGCCACTGCCTCAGTGTCAACCTTTCTTTCCGCTAGTTTTGACAGCACAGCCACTCAAATTATTTTATTTTGTTGCATTGTAAAATACGCAATGAATGTGGAAGAATTATTAATCGCATGTGTACGGGAAAATATTTTATTCTATATTGGTTGCCGACTCCCTGTTGCTACGCTCAGCTCAGCTCCGCTGTCGGTGCCGATCAGCCTTAGTCTTTTAAGTATTGGTAGATAGGATAGCCTCGAATCTATCATCTCAATTAAAAACATCGGATACAAATCACGCAATTCGGCGTTGTAAAACGGTCTAAATTCTGCGGTTAGTTCATCTTTATTCGGTCCAAATATAATACTCAATACTTATTAAAAACCCTAAGGCGTTTGCATCTCTTATTGTAAATGGCCACGTTTCGCTTTATAAAGAACTTTAAAAAGTATAATAATTTAGCCAATTTTTAAATTTCGAGATAGAAGTTGCGAGCTAAATAATTTTGCAACCGAAAAATAACTACCATTTCCAGCGTAGACTTTTAAATCCTAGCCCTCAACCGCTGGCCCGGGAAAACCCCCGTATCTGAAAGGCAAGGGAGGGGAAGACAAAAAAAAAATTCTTATTAAATGTATACCTTTAAAACTTTTTTTTAGTTTGAAAAAGTATTTAAAATCCACGGATTTAAGGCAATGACACTGTTTAAGATACTATTTCATTGTACTTGTGTGAAAGAAGAAGTGATATATAAAATATTTAATGGATATATTTGTAACCTTAAATATATTTACTGTATTTTCTTAGGGTTCTCGAATAACTCTAGATCCGATATTATATTTAAATAATTAGGTATCATACCTATAATATAATTATACCTAAATAACCTAGGTATCGTAGGTTTATTCTGAAAAATCATCATGTAACCTTTTAGAAAATTAAATTAGTGAATAATTTGATGAATTTTCCCTCTGTGATATTCCAACAGTATCTACTTCCAATTAGTGTGACAAATTTTGACCTGCCTATGACAGACAATGTAAATCTCTTACTTCCATTTTAGCAAACTTTGCAATGGATTATACAATCCATAATCAATAAATCATACAATCCATAATCAGCAGGTGATATAAAAATAGAACTTTTGTTATTTTAATGGTACTTACGATTTGTTACCTGTAAGCTTTTAGCTTTAGCTCGGTTAAAACTACAATTCAAAAATTTTTAAAATAGCACATCATGGCCAGAAAATAATTTCTATTCGAATTCGAGCGGTGACTGAAAGTTGTTTTGCGCGAGCATCAGATTTTTATTTATATGAATGTGTCTTCCTTAAAACACTTCTTGGAATGTTTGTCAGCGTGCTTCATTACTTTAACGTTTTCTTTTAGATCTTTATTATTGAAATTATCATTTTAAAAATACACTTTCGATTTTTTTTTTTTAATGATAATATAACATACATTCTGATGACACTATTTCTCCCTGAGAACTTGAGCCTTTTGCCTTTTGTCGTCATGAGATGTTAAGAAGCTTTTGTTAATTTATGATAATCTAATGAAGGAAAAAACTAACATTTAAATTATAAGATTAAAGAAACGCAATGGTTAAACCATGGCAGATTGTAAATCATATTTATAACAGATGGCTTACTAAATATATATATATATATATATATATATATTAAACCTTTGTGTATCAAACATTATTGAATGAAAGTTGTGCTGAGCCCTGAATTGATCTGAGAATGTATTAAAATCAGACACAAATATTATATTTGTGGAGTATTTGCATGGATCAGCAAGTTTAACCAAATAAACAAGGCAAATGCAGTCTACTACCAGATTTGCATCACTGCTGTAGGAAACTGAGAGGTGACTACGCATGTGTTCAAATCTCTGTACCTATCAATACTTTTGTACGGAGCTAAATGCCGGATATTGACAGGAAAGCATGAGAGCAGTCACTGCTGCTGAAATGAGATTTATGTGAAGAACAACCGGAAAGAATAGGAGAGACGGTGTATGCAACGAGGGAATAAGACAGTAACTTGAGATCACCCCATTGAAGGATGTATTGTGAACCCATCAACTGAAATGGTTCAGCCATGTCGTTAGGATGGAGGAACATAAAATGTAAAGAATATCACATTTGTAATATATAGATAGACTTAGCAAAGGAAGAGGCAAAGATTTCCGCCAGGCCTGGAATCTAGTAAGGAACAGAGAGGAATGGAATTCGTGGCAGTGCACCCGACCTAGAAGGAGGCATCCACCACTTGTTATGAATAAAAAAAAAAAGTTATAAAGCATATGAGAATAATAAATTTCAGCCTACTAATAAGGAACTGAATTAGAGACATACTGACTGAAATAAAATTCAAATATGACTTAATATTAAACATTTTAAGAAATGAATTCAATTTTTTGGAGGGAGGGAAATGACTTCATTGTCAGGTGGGGCCAAATATCTTAGGCTGGCATTGGTACCATCGATTTAACAAATAGAATTTTTGTTATTTTAATGATCTGAATGAGTTTTTGCATTGGTAAAATGACCAAAATTAAAAAATGTGTTCTTTATGGTTTAGCTCTATTGAAAATACCCATTAAAACTTATTGTCATAGCCCAATTTTGACAGAAAATAATTTCTGTAGTATGTGAAAGTTGTGTGATGCGAACACTAGATTTTTACTTTCACTTATATGTAATATATAGTAAGGGTACGTATTGCGATCATGAAAAATTTTGAATCTGAGTTTTCAACGGAACTACACATTTTGAGGTACCTTGAGTCCAAATAACCGAGTCCAGCAGAATGGTGTGTATGTATGAACAGCCTAGCTCAAAAAGTCCTACGATTCTGAAATTGCATATTTCAGGTTTTTATATGGCTGGGATATAACATCAAGGTTTGTCAAAATCGGCAAACTGGAAGTGATACTTTATATCATCGATTTAACACATTTTTACAATTTTCTCATAAAACTCATATTAAACTCAGTATATCAGTGTATTATTAAGTGGTCTTTGATATTAGCTAGGTCTTATCCACATTGATTTCGCCTTACAGAGCGTAAATGCCCAATGTTCAATATATCTTCCTCTAAAGTACCTTTAATTTGGTTTATTTAAAAAAAAAAAATATCTCTTATTCACAATAACAATAAAAAATGACTAAATAAAGTATAAACGAAGTTGATAATTGAATAATAGATAAAAAAAAAAAATGAAAAATATTTATCTATGGTGTTTTTTTATCATTATAATATGAAACTCCGTAAACGATAGTCAGAAGGTACATGTATAATATATCGTTGGACAGCTGAGAATTTTAGAAAAAACAATATGTAATATAGAAAGTCATAGAAGGTAATGGAGAGTTAGGAAAAATTACAAATAATAATTTGTGGAAACCAATATCTTTTAATTGAAATCACATGCTAAAAAAAAAATTATTTAAAATCCACCAAATCAAGGCAATGACATTGTTTAAAAATCTATTTCATTGTACTTGTGTGAAAGAAGAAGTGAAATATATAACAATATGTCAGAGATGTTTACAACATATGTTTATAACCTTAAATAAATTTACTGTAGTTTAATAACTCTAGATCTTATATTTTATTTAAATAATTAGGTATACATCGTCGATTTATTCCAAAAAAAAAATTTCCATTTGTGAAATCACAACATTATCCACTTAAAATTAGTGTGATGACTTATGTTGTGATCTATCAATGTTGTATTTAAAAGCAAGTAACTGTATTTTGGTAAATTTTCCAAGGAAAAAAGATAAGAATTTAAATATTGGGTTGGCAAATAAGTCCTTTCGGTTTTTCTGTTTATTTTTGTCACTATGATACACTTCTTATCTGATGAATTAATCCCTAAGGTGGATTGTTTATTCTGTCTGTAATATGTCAACAATTATATCTGTTAACTCTTGTTGAAACTAGCATAGAAATTGTGTTTGCTATTGCACTGTGAATATGGAAGAAAATAGCATTCATCATTGGCATATTTTTTGTATTATTTTAAAAAGGTAAGTGTGCTTCAGAAGCTCATAGAAAAATTTGCAGTGTTTATGAGGATGATGCCTTAACCGAACGCACCCGTCAAAATTGGTTTG